CCGAGCCGAGCCGAGCTTTAGTTATTAGCCTCTTTCATATAAAAATAAAGCTGAAGCAGACGGGAAGGGGTGGGTTTTTTCAAGCTTGAATTCTCCTAATTTGCATATTTTCAGGGTTATTTTGCCAAAAAAAAAAATAATCGCTGTTCTCCTGGAAAATTGATCAAACACAACCAGATTATATCGTCGTTGCTGCAGTCGCCATGCAATTGGTACAGTTTTCAACTCAAAATTGAGGAATCGCTCAAGCTACTGCTTCCCGAATGGCGTGCGCCTTTCACAACCCCAAAACCCTGAAGAGGTCATAGCTTTTCCACATGCCACTCTGTTTTTGTAAATATGCGTCACAACAATCTTGACCTTTTTTATTTTCCTTCCTTCACTACCTCATTAGATTCTGGACGGCCACCGTCCTACCCCTGCTTATTCCTATTACATGTAGGGTTGGTGCAACCCTTGCCGGTCGATGCCCTTCGCTGTATGGGCCGCTGTTCCTGGCCTTGATTACTATCCTCTTCCATTTCCTCACAGGGTCTTTGAGGCCCGTACTGCCTTTTATTTTGTTTCGCAACTGAAGAAGCATAATTAAAAGTGAAGACCATCGAAAAACCTGTTCCTTTGTTTTTCATGCAGAAAGCATCGAAGGGGGGAGGCGGAGGAGGAAGGGGAGGGGGATTCTTTGCCTTTCATAGATAGTCGGTGCAGAAAAGGGGAGGAGGGGAGCTACAATAATAATAAAAATACTTTAATGTTAAAAAAGAAATTAATAAAACTTGAAATGTATTGCAAAATATAGTAAGAAATGTTTCGGTCCATTAAGTCATATACATTTCTTACCATTACCACGAAATTGGGCCTCCTGTCATTGCGACGACTGTGGTAATTAGTATGGATTTGAGTATAATTTAAATAGTTTTGTTATTAAAACTAGATAAAAGTTAATTGTGTAAGAAAAGGAAGTAAAATTGATGTAAAATCTCACCCTAGAAGCGAGCGATTGTTGGCTCCATATCCAATCCGAAAAAAAATTTTCTCAGAGAAATACCTATAAAGCTGTTTAATAATATTATTATTAAGAAATAAAAAAAATTGATATCATGATATCGTCTCAAGAAGTGGTGCTTGGATTTCAGATATCGTTATCTCGTCGACCTTATCATCCGTGTTTGTTGCTGAAATGGCGATCGGCCTGTATCCTGTTGGATTGCGCTGTCGATATGGATACGCTTGCTTCTTTTCTTCCGGCAGCTCTTTGCAAAACGTCTGTTGTTTGCTTAAATGCTTGTTTTGGTCGGTATTAAAAACTCATTTTTTTTCGTAAAAAAATTACCCGAAAAAAATTCTTTTCATGAAATTACGGAAACGTTGGTTGTGCTTAACCGTTTCGAAATTTTCTTAAGCCGTGCTGAGTATCACTGCTCCTTTTTTTTCAACGGATTTTAAAATTTGCACAATTTCAGTGAACTTTTCTCAAGGTTACCGCTGTTTCCTGCACATTCACCGAAGCAGTACTTAAAGCTTTGCGGAGAAGATGTGTTTGTTGATGGTCCATTTGAAGTGCATCCTGTTCGGGTTCGTGTTCCATTTCTCGAATCGAAAAATTTTTAAAAATTTTTCATTTCAAAATTTTCGTTGAATCGAATTTTCGTCTAATTTTTGTGCAATTCCTTCAATTAATTTTTCAATTTTTCTCTATTTTCTAGTGCATCCTGGATTACGAGATTTTTCAGATTAATTCGGTATCGATGGAATCGATTGATGCGATACTGGTATCGAACTGGATGTCTCTTGTTGCTTTACCGTTCTTCACTGAAAATACCAATTTCTCAGGCGCTGTGTTTGCAACGGATCCGACTCTTCAGCTTGGCCGGTAATCCACTGTCTCTTGTTTTGAGCATTTCAAAAAAGCTGGAGGGGGATAGTTCTTTGGCCAGTAGTTATTGAAATACCTGTGAGCTATTTAATTTAACTCTTATTTGCTGACGGACATGCCGCAACGGTAAAAAGTGCTGCCTGTTGCGTTGTCCTGAGGGTCGAAGGTTAGACTTTGGCGGTAGGCAT